TATGAAAATTTTATCTAAAGATGACTCAAAAAGAAATCAAGTCAATCTTATTTTAGTCTTTGGCAGCTGGCTAATGGAAAAGTTGAAATTAAAGAACATGGCTTGACCTGACAAAAAGAGACAGTAACTAAGGAAACAAGCGAGTCTCCATTTATCCAAAGCTAACAACAGACATCATCTCACTGGATCTCCCCATCATCCTGGCTGGAGAGTGAGGGCTTTTTACCCTCCTAGTATTAAAGGGAAAGCTATAACCCTGATCAAATGACTTTCCAGTCACCCATAACTAATGATTGTTGGATTTACCTGTTAAAATCTGGACTGCCAACTGGACGTGGGTGGCTCATGCCTGTCATCCTAGCTACTCAGGAGGCTGAGATCTGAGGATTGTGGTTCAAAGCCAGCTGAAGCAGCAAAGTCCAATAAACTATTCAGAAAAGGACAGAAGTGGCTCAACTGGTGTAACACTTAGCCTTGAGCAGAAGCAGCTTGGAAACAGTGCCTAGGCCCTGAGTTCAAGCCCCCTTCCCCACCACCCAAGAAAAATCTAGACTGCCAGCTCTGAGTGCCCAGACCCTTCCTTCCTCTTCCTCAAGCTGAGTGCTATAAATTATTTTTGAGGTTTCACTTATTTATGCTTTCTGAAATGTATAATTTTAATAAGCATAAAATTTCTATAACATTGATAGTTGTAAATAATGTCATACCTATTCACATCTAGTGATATTTTAAGAATATAAAACAGATCATCTCAGTCTTTTGCTTAAATGTCTCCTGCTAGTTCTCATTGAACTTCACATATATCTAGACACCTCCCCTGGGCCTGAATCTTGCTTGTACTTTGTCTTCATGGCTCAGATCTCTTCATTCTTCTTGTGTACTCAGCCTCAGCTACAACTGGTTTTCTGATTATCCCTTAAATATACCAAGCCCACTCTTTTCTCAAGGACTTTCTGTGAATTGTTCAGTCTCTTGGAGCTTTTTTTTCTCATTTCTCTCCTTGGCTAATACTTTTATGTCATTCAGCTTTTTTTTTTTTTTTTGTCAGTCATGGGGCTTGAACTCTGGGCTTGGGGCGTTGTCCCTGCTCTCTTCAGCTCAAGGTGAGCGCTCTGCCGCTTGAGCCACAGCGCCACTTCCAGTTTTCTAGTAGTTTATTGGAGATAAGAGTCTCACAGAATTTCCTGCCTGGGCTGGCTTTGAATCTCGATCCTCAGATCTCAGCCTCCTGAGTAGCTAGGATTACAGGCTTGAGCCACCGGCGCCCGGCTGTCATTCAACTTTTAAAAAAAAAAAAAACAAATGTTACTTCTTCAAAGCAGTGCTCTGACCATCCCGTTAAAGTCTTGTCTACCTGGTATGGGCCTATGATTGTCTTCCCAGCGTTTCTGCCACCTCAGTTTTTTCTTACTTATTTACTTATTTGTCTTTTCCCAATGTCCACTCATTCACCGACACCATGATTATCAATTTCAAACAATAAAGACTTAGCTTATCACTTGTTCTTGCCCTTTTGGTGCCTACAAGAATATATAGCACACAGCAGCACTTGACAAAGAATCATTTCATCAATAAACATCTGGAAATAGTTCCATCTATGTGGCTCTTATTTCTTTGATATTTTTTGTTTGTAAATTGGGCATATTCAGCAAAGAAGACGCAGGATGGCAAAAATGCTTGATTCTTTTTTCATGTGTAGAAGAATGCCAACTTCCCAGACATAATCTTTTGATGAACATTGAGATGTCACTTAGCAGATAGAGAACAAAAATCACCTGTCAAGGACTTATAGCCATGGGCCTAGGAAAGCATAGCCCACGGCAGGACATTGGTGTAGAGTTCTGCTGAAGGGAGATTTTCTGCCAGGTAGTTCGTGCTGGTGATGTAGAGATCCATTGCAGAACTCACACCTAGTGTGTCTTCTACTTCCCAATTGGCATCAGATGCTCCCTCCTAGTTTACTTTCACACCAGTCATGTTGATGTTAGCCCATTATATTTTGACAGCATGCTTTGTTTTGAGTTGTGCTTTGATGGCACAAACACAGTTATACTTTCAAAAGCACCAAATTGTGGAAAAGGACTAACCCAGGGGTTGAAAATTATTTAACCATGCTACACAGTAGCTGCTCATGTATCTCTGAGGACATTCACATCTTGTTTAGAGCTCAACTTTTTTCATCTACAGAAATGTCTTAGGGGAAAGGCTTTTGGGTGATAATGCCCCCCAGAAGATACATAAATATAAAATGCCCAACAACTCTATTACCACTTGAAGACATGCTATAGATAGGCTTGCATTGAAAATATTTCTATCTAATTTACGTACGGTGGCAGTAGTGGTTTTTAATAAAATTACAGCTGAATATTCTTGACTCTTACTCGTTTTCTTGTTGAGTGTCTCATTTGTTTCCTAAAACATATAAAAATGTCCTGAGTTTAATGCAAAATAAAAGATAAGCAGGTGTTGGGCATTCCTACAATGTGAATTCAATGTTATCTTTTATTGTTGTATACTATAAACTGGGAACAGAATTGAGAAAATGTTTATAGGAAAAAAAAACATAGGTGCCTTTGACTTGAAAATCACTTACATATGTAAGAGCATAGTGGCTATTTTATTTTTAATATAAGAATTACATTATATATATTACTTATTTACTTATTTTTGTGTGCTGGTCCTGAGGCTTCAACTCAGGGCCTAGCACTCTACCACTTGAGCCATAGTGCCACTTCTGGCTTTTTCTGAGTAGCTTATTGAAGATGAGAGTCTCATGGACTTTACTGGCCAGACTGGCTTTGAACTATGATCCTCAGATCTTAGCCTTCGGAGTAGCTAGAATTATAGGCTTGAGCTATCAGTGTCTGGCTTATTTTATATTTTTGAAAATACAAAATATTAAAAAAACACATTTTTACACTGTGTTTCAATAAGTCTCATCTCCTCTGTCATACTTCCTGCCCCTCAAAAGCATCCCCAACAATTACTTTCATTCTGTTAACTAGCATTAACTTCATGTGACACGGAAGATTCTATAATACAAATATAATCCAATGAAGGATAAAACATATTGAAATATTTAAGACAGCTTTGAAAATCTAAATGTATATGAAGAACGAGTACAGCCATCATTACTAACTATACAAATGTATCTTGGATGTAGATTTTTTTATAAGTGCCTCTTTAAAAGAAAAATGTTTGGATTATGAGTTTTAGAGTATTTTGTTACTTTTTCTATACTGGTGAATTAACAACAAAGCTTTTGTTCTGGTAGGAATGTTATTTCATTTAATTAAAAATATATAAAACTATTCAAGAAAGTGGTTGATCTAAAATGCTGTGAATCATTTTCCTATAGAAGAAAACTTATATCCACACATAGAGAACCATTTATAGAACTTACAGGCTCTATGCTAGATTCTTACATCTTTTTAATCTCTTTTAAGCCACAGTGACATCTATTTCCATTGGTAGCATTATATTTCCACATTAGAGTAGAGAAAACTGAGGCTGGCAGATTTGTCCAAAGTAATCTATCTAAGGGTTAGCTGACCAAACTAGGCAGATGAGGAGTCTAGCACCACTGATCTTGCCTTTTCTGCCAGCTGTCTTATATCCTTCCATTTCTATTGAGTTTCATATGTATATGCACACATCTCTATCTGCATTGGAAGGCTCATCTCCCCAAGGAAAATTGACAATCTCTATAACATACTGGCAATTAATGCTTGGTGCAAAAGCAGATCATTCACTGTCTATTATACCACCACAGGGACATTTCTCACTTGTTAATATACAGTGGTAGTTCAAAGAATTTCAGTTATCTACCTATATAAATCTATCCAGTGTAGAACCTTCAGGATTTATTAGAATTTATTCTGTAAACTTTATTCTATAAAGGACCAAATAGTAAATGTTATATGCTTTGTAGGCTCTCCATTCTCCATTGTAACTACTGAACTCTTGTTGTAGCACAAGAATAGCTGCAAAACATGTAAATGAATGGCTAGAGCTGTGTAATCAATAAAACAGTTGTTGGGTGACAATGGACCAGGAGTTAGAGCCTACCGGCCCTGAGTTATAATAAATTCTTACTCTGATTGCCTTTCTGCATGGATAGTATCCTGAGACAAGTTATCTAACTGCTCAGTTCTTGAATGTGAAAATAAATGTTTCCATTCTGCAATCCCCTACTTTTAAATACTTCTTTATGGATAACCTATTCTGCAAATACCATGCTCTGCTCTTTAACACGAACTTTATTTAGTTCTACAACTTGCCTTCCTGATTTCTCTTCATTCTGAATTTATATTTCTTGAAGAAATATAATAACTTTTCATTGCATTCACTTGCTTATATTACCATTTTACATGATTATAACCTTACTCTGAAAATGTTTTACTCAAATATGTTTTGTACCTAGGGAATTGTGGTTAGTCTTGCTTAAGTTCTTCAGGATATGACTGGTTAACCTCTTACAAAATATAGTCATCCATTTTTTTTAAGTGAAACCCAACCACATTTAATAAGCCAATCTCCTCAAAGAGCAAATCAGTTCTAGAGGCAGAATTTGTCTTGGCAAATCACTTGCAAAGATAGATGTTGGTCCTTGAACTTAGTACATCGCTAGAGAGTCCCCTGCCTTAGGAGAATTGGCAGCATATCTTACTTTCATTGTAATACATGGCTCCAGTTCTAGAAAATTCCTTTCCAACCCCAACACAACTCACATCCTTGTCCATTAACTTCCTAGTCTCTTTCTTCTTCCTTCTTTCCTAACATTTCCAAATTCTAAAACTTCACCTGTCATGGGCGAACTAGATGTTGGCAGATCTCTTTGCTTGATATGTGTGAAGGCTGATAGATTATTGAGATTTACTGCATGCTTTAAATTCACTGCTTTTCCTGTTCAGCAATTTAACTGTAGCCCCAGATGAAGGTGATTTGCGTGATCCATCTTGCTTTATATCTCACTTGACATTCTGCCTTTTTCATGACAGGTTGCTGAATGCTATAAAGCCAGGACTTGTTAGAAAGATCAATAGATTGCCTACCCCCATTGCAGGATTGGTGAGTATCCAGAATTGAGATTTATTTCCCAATATTCCTTTGCTTTAACCTAAGGGTCATGACAGTACCATTTGTTACAGCTCTCTCTTGTAATACATATTCTACTTGAATGGGAAGGCACTAAATCCATTAAACTAAAAGGTCACTTAAAAATGAAAAATTCCAGTGATGGCATCTTAATCTTTGTTTATATTTTTCTCCATGAGTGATAAAGTCCTTCAATCTTAAAGAGGTAAATTTGTTTTGGGGTAAGAGGCTGATAATTGGGTTGACCTCAGGAGAGGAATGTGATTTTAATTACATGTTCCCATTCTGGTACTTCACTGCATTCTGTATCATGGAGGGAGAGAGAGAGAAAGAATTCTGAGAGAAAGCAGCCCTTTCATAGTAAATTGCTGCTTTCAATATTAGAAGTCTACTTTGGCTTAAATACCGAAGTTCTATTTGTAAATGAACAAATTCTAAAGATACAGTGAGGGACTAGGCGGTCCAATGTCATAAGAAGTGTTTAAGTAGAACCCTGGCCCTTCCAGACCCGCCCAAGTCAGGTCCATAGATCACTTGTTCACATGTGATCAGAAGAAGGAGGGGTTTTTTTTTTTTTTTTTTTTTCATGCACCAATATGCTTTACAACTGTTGGCAACTAATTTCATTACTTTGAAGCTGCCTTTCATTTAGAAATGGGGGGAAGACAAAGAAACATAGGTCCCATGGTTTCCCTTATTTGCAATAACTAGTATATGTCTGAGTCAAGCAGAAAAGGTCAGATAAGTTGATGTTAGGGAAATGAACCCTAAGATATGTATTCAAATGTTTTTTTCTTTCATGCCATTGTTTCTAATACATTTATAAGATTATTTCTTTGTTGCTTTGTATGTCCCTCCCCCACGGTATAACCCCTGCTTTCACTGTATTTGATGTTGATATAATTTGTGGAGGGGAAGGGAAAAAACATCGTTTAAATAGGGATACAGGTGGATCCATTGCAACAATGAGATGTACAAGTCCTTATATCGAAATCGAACTTTACAACTTTGGTGGGGGGGGGGGGGGGGGGAGGAGGGAGAGGATGGGAAGGGATGGGAAGGGGAAAAAGGAGGAGGCTACACTGCTTGATAAGAAATGTACTCATTACCTTGCCCATGTAATTGTAACCCTTCAGTACAGTATTTTCACAATAAAAAAAATAAAATGAAAAAGAAAAAGAAAAGAATTGGGGGGAAAAGGTGGGAGATCAGGAAAACAATCAAGTAATAATTCAGAAAGGAACTTGGTGTGCATGCATAAACACACACATAGGTACATACTCACACACACAAAGCTGGGGGTTTTTGTGGCCTGGTAATGGCTCACTAATTGTTTCCATTTTTATGGCCTTCTCTGTGAGTGTTTTTGTAGAAAACAATGAGAAAAATGTCAAGAATTTAAGCAGGATCCCACATAGACCTTACTGATTGTTTTAGAGTTTCTTAGCCATATCACAATGGCAAGTTAAAATTAGATGTGAAAGAAACTATTGTGTTTGAGACCTGTGGGGGGCCCTACTAGGAAGGGATATGGTATCAACTTGGTGAATGAACTGGATGTTTGCTTTATTTTAAGAATTTCTATTTCTATGGATGCCTTTCATTTCTATATTGGTAATGAGTTGGTGATTAGTCATTAAAAATCCTTCTAATTTTGTCTGCCACAGCCATAGAGCTAAATAAGTTAATATGTAGGTAACTGGTTAAGTTTAGGAAGAATAGATTCAAGTAACTTTATAAAACAAGTAATAAACATGTGACTATTATAATATATGAATATCAATATGTGAATATTAGTATGCATGTGAATTATTTTTTACAAATTTCTATTTAACCTATGAATGGATTAAATTCACACCCCTATATGGTGCCATTTCTCCTGATACTTCTTTTGCATATAATATAGTATTCTCTTGCTGCTATTCTTTTTTTTTTTTTTTGTCGGTCGTGGGGCTTGAACTCTGGGCCTGGGCGCTGTCCCTCAGCTCTTCAGCTCAAGGCGAGCGCTCTACCACTTGAGCTACAGCGCCACTTCCGGTTTTCTGGTGGTTTATTGGAGATAGGAGTCTCACGGTCTCTCCTGCCCGGGCTGGCTTTGAACCTCGATCCTCAGATCTCAGCCTCCTGAGTAGCTAGGATTACAGGCGTGAGCCACCAGCTGCTATTCTTGACCAAACCTTAGTCATTTATGAAGCTCTTATACAACACTGCCTCTGTGAAACCTTGAGTATTTGTGGTCTGCTAGATCCTTCTTGACAGTTACAGCCAGTATCCTCTGATACAGGAGAAAAGAGGCTAATACACAAGAGAAGAAAAGTCAGTTCTTCAAACATAGTTTGGGGAATAAGATTTTGAACAACTGTTGCTTGCAGTTTGAAACTAAAGGTTTATACATGCTTACATATCCATGTTCAGACACTGTGACTTTCAGTAGCTACTTGGCCCTGATCAAACTTAACCAGTGCCAGTAATGAGTTTAAATGACAAGGTCTCCTAGTGATACACGAAGAAATCACAGTTCTGAAGTGTCAAGTCCAGATTATCATATTGCAAAGCTGGCCTATACTTTTCAACACTATCAGTATGCTTCACGTCAACTCCCCTAGCCAAAAAGGACCGAAAACTGCTGTAGATTAAAAATGACTAAGGAGATCTGATAGCCAAAGGCAGTGGATAATCCATAACTGAAAAAGACACTATAATGGCTACTATGGGACCACGGAGGAAATTTGAGTGTAGATTGAATATCAGGTAATAATAATCTCTCAGTGTTGAAGTCCTTGCGTGTGTGAATGAATAGTCTGCTGTGTATATAGTAGTATTGTTGACCTTAGAAAACAGGATATTGATGTACTGAGAGATGAAATGTCATCATATATACAACTAATTTTAAAACTTCAGCAAAATGTATGTATATAATTTATATGCAGAGGGAACTGGAGATAAGAGATAAAGAGATAAAAGATAAAGGAAGGAAATGTGGTAGTATGTTAAATTTAAATAAAAGATAGACAGTTCTGGTAATATTCTTGCAACTTTCTGGTAGGTTTAAAAAAGAAATTAATTCTTTTTCTTGGGCATGAAGGAATTTCAAATAAGTGGTTGCTCTGAAGATGGCAGAGGCCTTTTTTTTTTTCTTCCGGTCATGGGGCCTGAACTCTGGGCCTGGATGCTGTCTCTCAGCTCTTCAGCTCAAGGCGAGCACTCTACCACGTGAGCCACAGTACCACTTCTAGTTTTCTGGTGGTTTATTGGAGATAAGAGTCTCATGGACTTTCCTGCCCGAGCTGGCTTTGAACCATGATCCTCAGATCTCAGCCTCCTGAGTAGCTAGGATTACAGGTGTGAGCCACCAGCACCTGGCAGGCAGAGGTCATCTTGGCTTAGTAGGAATGAGACTTTTCTGTGAGTACACTTAACCACATGACTTTTTCCTCTTCCTGATATTCATGCCAGGCAGGAGAGGCCTGAGAATTTCTCAAGTGAACCCGAAGACTTCAAGGTTGGCTTGTACTTTGTTTGAGGGTTGACAGGCCAGTGAGCATCTATGGATCATGAAGTCAGCAGTGGCAGAAGCCACGGTGATGTGAGAATTGTAGCCCAGGAGTTTTCCATGCCCATGCTGTGGCTTGGGTCTTAATGACCTGGTGTTGAGAAGCCAATCCAATAAAATGGCCCAACTGCTAGACTCGAAGATAAATAGGGAAGTATGTGTTCACATAGCAATCCCAAATTATAAACACGTGTAGACTTACAAAGGCATGAATAGGTGTACTTTAGTCCTTGACTTACACTGTGCTTATGAAGAATTGGGGGGTGAAGGTGTTAAGGTAAAGTAGTTGAATATAATTTCCTGGCAAGAAAGCCAAGGCTCTGGCTCCAGGTCTATGTTTCCTCTTTAAGGATTGCTGACATATGAAGCTGAGTGGTGACTGCCTACAGATGCTTACATTCTTTTTTAGGTGTTAGTGATACTGTTAGCTGTTGCCAGAGAGAGAGAAAGACCTCAAAGTTAGGTCTCTGGCATACCAAAGGCTTTTTAAAAAGCTACCCTTCAGTCAGCCAGCTCATCAGCTTGGCACGGCCCAGTCACATTCTGAAACTCATTGTAATGTTCATTAGAGCTCCAAAGGACACTTGCTTCATCCCAAATCTTTGCTTACCAAAGGCATTTTGGGCTTAAGCGTTTTATGTGCTGAGATTTTCATTCTGACACTCATTGGCCCACAGACATGTATGCAAATATCATTGGAAATAGATTCTTAGGGAATCTTCCCTCAAGTTCTGGGCCATCATAGAACTGTCCTGAAATATTTGCTTGATTTGCTTGATGTTTGCATGTGAATCCTTTTTCAGACTTTTGCCTCTTCTAGTGTTTCCAGTTGAAGTTGGAACACAGGGGAAGGCAGAGACTCACTTTTTGTTGTTGTTATTTGGTCCTGGGGCTTGAACTTAGGGCCTAAATGCTGCCGCTGAACTTTTTTGCTCAAGGCTAGTACTCTACCACTTGAGTCACAATACTACTTCTGGTTTTTTTGGTGGTTAGTTAGAGGTGAGAATCTCATGGACTTTCCTGCCCTGACTGGCTTTGAACTTCCGAACCACAATCCTCAACTCTCAGCCTTCTGAATAGCTAGAATTATAGGTCTGAGAGTTTATCTTTTTCCTACTTTTGGCTAATGCCTTCAAAATCCCCTCCCAACTTCTGTGAAAGGTCATGCTTTACAAAATGGCTCTTGGCCCAATGAATGGTGGAAATTTGACTCTAAAGTTCAGTATTATAGAATAGGAATGGGAACGATAGAATTATTATTTTTACTACCATCTAGTAACCCTAATTTAATCAGAAACTTTTTTTGCAAAAGGGGTCAAAGGTAAGATTTTGAATATGGTCATAGCTGATCTTTCTAGAAATGGGTAAACATGTAAGTTCCCATAAACTAGGGGACTTTCGGAAGCTTTCGGGTATCTAC